CTCCACACAACCTCCACTGGGGGGCGATATCTGGGGGGAGGATTCCTGGAGGCAGGGGAGCCCTGTCCTCTTCCATGCCCCAGCCCCCCAGGGGATGATTTCTCCCCTGTGCGACCCCCTCTCCTGCATCTACCAGGGCCCGACCCCCCCTCGAAGGAGCAGCGGGGGCGGGGGGGGCTGGAGTTCGCTATAGAGTCCGTCTGGAGTTCCCCTGAGGCTGCAGCGACCGGATTGCTACACCGCCCCCCCCCCCCCGCCTCCCGGTGTCTGGGTCGGGCAGGGGCGGGTGAGTCGTCCCCCCCCCCCTCCGGGCGGCTGTCGGGAAGGGGGGGCACGGTGCCAAAGGGGCCGCACCCCCTGCCCCGAACCTGCGCTGGGCCGGGCAAGGGAGGTGCTTCGTGCCAGCTCCGCTCCCCCCCCCCCTTCCCCCGTCTCTGCCCTTTGGCCCCAGCTGGGAACCAGGCGTCCCTTTGCCCCGGCAGCTCCCGGCGGGTCCCGCAGCAGCGACGGGCGATGGGGCGAATCCCCCACAGACCGGGCGGCCCTTGGACGGGGATTCTCCTGGCAGGTCAGAGGGGGAGAACGTGGGACCCAGGTGTCCGGGACACAAAGGCCTCCAATAGGAGCCCGTGTCAATAAAAGCCGAGGGGCTGCGGGTCGGGACTGAGGGGCACCGGCAGAGCTGGGTGTGGGGACCCCAGGGCTGGGGTAGCAGGAGGGGGGCTCTGACACTTCCCTCCCCAGGCTGGTTCCATCCCAGGCTGCCCCGAGGCTGCGCCCCAAAGCCCCGGGGACCCCATAGAAGCCCCATTGTTCACCACAGCTTCTGCTTTGCATGGGGGGGATTAGCAGGGATCAGCTGTTTGTGTCTCTGTCCCAGAGCATTGGGGGGGCACCCAGACCCCCCCCCCACTGAACTCCCTCTCCCAGATCTAGCAGGCGGAACCAGCCCCACGCAGAGACCCAGGGACCTGGCACCCGACGGGGGGCAGGGGGAGAAGGGAGAAGACCCCTCCCCCCCACCGGTTCCTTCCTCCAAAGCGAAGGGGAAGTGGGCGGACGAGGCTGGGAGGGGAAGTCTGAGGCCGGAGGGGCCCCCGTGGGGCTGACCTGCCTGTGGGTCCGGACTCCTGGGTCCCGGCCCAGAGACGCCGCCCCTGGGTCGAGGCAGGTCCCGCTGCAGGAAAAGGCGCGGGGCGGCACCTGGGGAGGGGTCCCTTGCAGCTGAGAGGGTGGAGCGGGGGCAGGGGGGACCCAGGTGTCCCGGACACACAGGGCTGTAACAGGGGACAGTGCAAACGAAAGCAGAGGGGCTGCAGGTCGGGAGTGAGGGGCACCAGTTAGTATCAGTCTCTCTGGTCTCCCCCCCGCAGCCTCCGTCCTGGGCTCCTGCCTCCAGCCGGCGCCGGCCCAGACCCCAGTGACCATCGTCCTCACCCCGCCGAGCCCCGTGGTGGGAGGGGGCGTCAGCCTGGCCCCGCAGCCACCGCCAGAGAACTTGGTGCTCTGCAGCTGGCACCGATCAGCGACCGCTGATGAAAAGAGCCGGATCCTCAGTTACAATCCAGCTACAAGCCCCCCTCAGACCCCCGGCCCGGCCCACACGGGGCGGGAGACAGCGGGGCCGAGCTGCGCCCTGAACATCGCGGGGTTAACGCTCAGCGACACCGGGAACTACACGGTGCTGATAATGAACCCTGGGGTCCTCACCATCCCAGTGACTCTGCGCGTCTATGGTAAGTGTCACCCCCAGGAGCTGGGCTGACCCTGGGCCCTGCCCTTCCCCCCCCCACCCCAGCGATGGGGCTTTGGGCGTCTCCCTCGGGGATGAGCCCGGCTGGTGAGGGGCTGTCGGGGGCCTGTGAGGGGGGTCTGGGCCCCTCAGGGC